AGTGCCACCAGCAGTGTCCAAGAGCTATAGTAACCCCACAGCCTGGCCGGTCTTTGTTGTTTTCTAGTTCTTTGGTCAGCCCCAGTTTTTGCTGGGGCGAGCTGGTATCTCATTGTAGTTTTGATTCGTGTTTTTTGGATGACTGATGATCAAGAGCATCTCTTCATGTGTTTGTTGGCCACTGAACGTCCTGTTTGGTGAAGTGTCTGTTCATGTCCCTTGCCTAATTGTTGATTGGATTGTTTGTCTTTTTGTTATTGAGGTGTTGAAGTTTTCCGTATAGTTTAGTGATTAGATCCTTGAGGTTTGTGATTGTCCATAGGTTCCCTTTCCACTGTTTTGGTAAAGTCTTTGAGAAGCATAAATAATTAACTTTTAGGAGGTCCAACTTCAGTTCTAAGTTACCCAGTGGTGCCTCAGAAAATAGATCTGACAATCTACTTCTACCAAATCAGCTGTGGAAGATTTTACGGAGAGCAGTTCTCTGAAACCCACAGGGTCGCCATGAGTTGGAATTGATGGGATGGTAATTGGTTTGGTTGGTCTGTTTGGAAGAGTGGCTGAAGTCCAGAACCCACTCAGGGGTGGTTGTCCCAGTTCTGGTGACTGGATCCGGCTTGGGGCCCGTAGCAAGTGGTGATCATAGCCCAGGTCCAGGTGAAAAGAGTGAGGGTGGGGTTGTTATCATTGATACCTAATCGGCACTGGTTACGAACCAAAAGGTTGGCAGATCAAACCCACCAGCAGCTCCTCAGAAACCTTATGCTATGAGTAGGAATTGACTCTATGGCATTTAACACCAACAACACACCTCTGCCCAGGGACAAAGTGGGAGGCAGTGTGGTCAGGCACAGCATGTCTTACCTTTCACCTGCTCTCCATCCCTTCCCCCAGCGCAGTGAGGCAGGACTCCCTGTGTTCCTCTCCCAGATCCAGAACCTTCCGAAGCTCTGGTCCAGGATCACCTCTGCCCATCACACCCAGGTTTTACACCTTGCTTCCCTTTCGCTTCAGTTCTGCCTGTACTTCATATATATGCGCTTTTTTTAAAGCTACAATATGCTAACACTGCAAAAAAAAAAAAGTGTCTGGAATTGCATCAAACTGTTTTAGATATCATACTGGGCTTTTGGCTTGATAAAGAAACTAAGAAATACTGAATTTCTTATCAGGTTTATTATAAAGGTCTGTGAGTCTGTAAAATACAAACTGTAAATGCAGAAAGAAAAACCTAACAACGCAGCAAATAAACCCAACACCCCATATTATTTCTGGCTTTTGTATCCTCTTACTTCCTGGCAGAATCAACCACTTACCCTCGGATCCTCACCTTATCCCCCAAGATAACTTGGGAGCCAGAGGAGCCTGGACCAGCTGCCTGTTTGCTTACAAGGGAAGATGTGGAAGCAATTAGAAGCAAAGAGAACAATTGACCCCAAGGGCCCTTCCTGATCCTTTCAAAGCTCACACAATGGTCCCAAACCTTGGAAAGAGGTCCCAGGATTAAAAATAAAAGATGCTTGACCTAAACTAGTTAAATTAAAATCCCAGATGGACACACTATGTGTAACACAACTTTAAGTGTATTGAAAGGCTGTGTGGGTGTGTACTGATACAGCTTCATTACGGGCGTTGGCTACCAAAGACAAAGCCAGCCTCAAGAGTACAGGGTGGCATTCACCAGCTCTCGGATCGAGTTCATGACTTTGTATCTGCAGAGGCGAGGCGGCAATTGCATCCATCATTGTAGACTGCCCCACCATCCAGTCTGCTGTACAAAGAGCAAGAGCAGCCAGAGTCAAATGGCTTGCCAGAGACCCCCTCCCCAGTAAACCTGGGGTCGGAGGGGTTGACATGGGCTTGGTCTTGCAGCCCGTTGTTGCAATACCACCTGGAGACCCTGAAACCTGCATCCTGACTTAAGGAGCAGAGAGCGTCTCTTCTTAAGCTGTTTGGCAACGAGTGCTTTAACCCATTACTGCTGCTGGCGTCACTGAGTGGAGTCAGACTTGTAGCGACCCCATGTGACCAAGCAGAACAGTCCCACAGGGCTTCCTCAGCTACAATATTTATGGCCAAGTCCTGGTGTGGCACTGTAGGAAAAGCACTGGACTACTAACTGCAAGGTAACGGTTCAAAGCCTTGGAAACCCTATATAGGTCTCTATGAGTTGGAGTCGACTCAATGCACTTAACAGTAACAACAGTCTTCACAGAGCAGATCACCCGGTCTTTCTTACTGAAAGCTGTTAAACATCATTGTTGCTGTTGCTGGCTGTCCATCTAATAGATTCCAACTCCTAACAACCCCATGTGATGGAGTGGAACTGCCCCACAGGCTTTCCTAGGCTGGAATCTTGATGGACGTAGATCATCAGCTCTTTCTCCCACAGGGCAGCTGATTGATGGACTCCAACCAGGACCTTTCTGTTAGTAGCCGCACACGTAACCAGTAGGGCACCTTACTCAGACCCTTAGCCTATAGTCTATACAGGTCCATAGTCCCTAAGGGACACCTTGGGGTCAGGTGTGCTTTGGAATTCCAAATCTTAAATCTGAGAAGACTTAAACCTGTGTGTCTGCCTTAGATATTGTAACCCTGTCAGCAGGGTCTTGGGCAGCGTCTGCAATCAAGCACATTAATGATTCTGCAGGAAAATGTATGCAAATGCATGCGGACCACAATGCAGAAGGTCTATAAATAACCCCCTGTCTTCTCAGGTAGGGTTTTGACACCTCTTGAGGTTAGGGAGACTTTGCTGGCAAATGAGTTTAGTTTCCAGAGCTTTTGGGATTTACATATCATTGCAGTAAAGGTACATTTTTGAAGTTTAAAGAGCAGTTTATAATCTTGCTGTTGGAGCCGTGGGCTCACGGTGGCCCAATGTGCAACAGAAAGAATCGGTGTCTGGTCCCATCTTTGAGACAGTTGCTGTCTCTGAGGCCATTGTAAATGCCACTGTGTCTGTGCACCTCTCATTGAAGGCTTCCTTCATCTTTGCTGACCGTACAGTTTGCCAAACATGATGTCCTTCTCCAGCATTTGGTCTTTCCTGACAATGTCCAACACCAGATTGGACAATACGCCATTGTGACCCATAGGATTTTCACTGGCTAATTTTCGGAAGCAGATTGGCAAGCCTGTTTCCTTAGTCTGTGTTAGTCTGTAAACTCGGCTGAGCCCTGTCTGCCAAGGGTGACCCTGCTAGTATTTGAAATACCAGCAGCACAACAGCCTGCGAGCCACCCTAGACGGGCACACTGTCAGGTAGGAAGGCGAGTGGGTGGAGGCCTTCCAGAAGGTAACATTTCCTGTTTTAACAATTTTTGTTGTTGTTATGTGCCGTGGAGTCGGTTCCGACTCATAGCCACCCTGCACAGGTTTCCGAGGCTGTTAATCTTTACGGGAGCGGAACGCCTCATCTTTCTCCCGCAGAGCAGCTGGTAGTTTTGAACTGCTGACCTTGCGGTTCATAGCCCGATTCGTAACCACTACGCTATCAAGAATTACTGGGATGGCCCCTGACTGCACTGAGGTGTCTCTGGGCACCCCCAACCAGTGGCCTGACCCGTTTGTTTCTGACCCAATGCCCCTGCATGGGATGGATTAACACTCTCCAGTGTTGGGAAACACTGACCCAGCCCAGTGTTGGATTATCCAATATGTAAGGTAAGCACATGCTTACTTGAGTTTATTTATTAATCTGTAGTGAACACGTGCACATCTTTTCAATTCAAAGATTCTGCTTCTAGACCTGGCTGGTATGTGTCTCTCTCCCCACCCCTTACTACCTTCCTGAACAATCAGAGCCTCTTCAGATCTACAATTCCTGACAGGGAGGAAGCACCTAACATGCAAGGTAAGCACAGGCTTGATTGTGCTTGCTAATCTGCAGTGAACAGCTTCACATGTTTTTCACATATCAAAGGCAGCCCAGTCAGCTAATAGAGCTATGATCGTGACTCATCAAAACCCGATTGAAGATGCGGTGAGCCATCTGTAATTTGTGCACTTCACTGATTTACTAGTTAGTGCTTACACTGTGTCTTAGTTCTATGGTTCTGCTTTAACTGAACTACCACAGCTGATGGCTTAAACAAACAGAAATTTATTCTCTCAGAGATAGCTGTGTGCCATCTAGTCGGTTCCGACTCCTGTGTAGGGCTTCCAGGAGCAGCTGGTGAGACTGAACTGCCAATTTTGTGGTTCCCACTCTACGGGTTATCGTATAGCACCACACTAGGGTTGTCCCTCACAGTCCAAATCCAGCGTACCAGCTATGGGGAAAGGTTCTTGTCTCCGTTCAGCAGATGTTGATGCAGCATTCCTTGAAGACCTCCACACATTTTGGCATCAATCAACCGTTCCCCGGATCTAGGAGCTTCACCACGCAGGGGCCCCAGGTCCAAATCATGCCCTCTACCCGGGGGCTCTTTTATTTCTGGGTGGTAGTAGTTTTCTCTTTCTTTTTTTAATCTTTGTAAAGGAAAAGACATTGCAAGGGATCAGGGCTGTGGTGGGACTAAGGGTACTGCAACACACCTGTCAGCCTCTCATTGGTTTATCACATCCGGGGAATCATCACATCATGGCCACATGACATCATTACATACTGTCAGATCACTGAGACTCAAGACCCAGCCAAGTTGACACATATTTGGGGGGACACAAGTCAGTCTATAACACCCTGTCTAGCCCAGTCCTTTGATTGACTCACATGGAGATGGAAGAAGAGGTGTTTCCAGCCTCCCCTCTTCTAGGATATGGTTTCTAATTGCTAATGCCTGTGTCACAGAGAAGAACTACTCTGTAAGGTTTCTGAGCTGTCATTGTACAGAGCTGTCATCGCCAGCCCTTTCTTAGGCCTCACCACGGGCTAGATTCAACCCTCCAACCTTTAGGTTAATGGTGGAGTGTGCACCACCTCAGGACACTGTCGGCCTCCGGAGGGCAGGGGCTGAGCTTGTCCCATGTTGTGACCAATTCTTCCCTTTTTGCAGTGCCGGGACTACTTGGGCGGCGTGCTCATGGGGGACCTGTGCGAAGACCTGTGTGTGGCGGGTCAGCTGGTGTACCAGCGCTGCCTGTACTATGAACGAGGCAAGAAGGTCCTGCAGGCCGACTGGCGGGGCCGGCAGGTCATCCTCAAGTCCAAGAAGGAGGCCTTCTCCAGCTTCCAGCCCCTGGGCCTGCTGGATGAGGGCCAGGGCGTCCCTGAGGCCGAGCTCCTGCTGCTGGTGGCCGGCGAGGTCCAGAGCACGCTGGGTCTGCCGCTGGCCAACGGCAGTCTGGGGCTGCTGTGGCTGGGCCCGCGGGGCCCCGGCTGGCGCGAGCACGTGGCCAGTCTGTGGGCTCTGTTGCAGCAGGAAGAGTTCCTGTCCCTGAGCCTGCTGCGCGGGCTGAGCCGCCACGTGCCGCCCGTACTGGGTTCCTGTGGCCACTTCTACGCCGTGGAGCTGCTGGCCGCCGGCAGCCCGCACCTGCACGCACTCTTCCCGCTGGGCGAGGCGGCGCGGGCGCGCGGGGGCCAGGCGGCGGCCGTGGGCAGCATCGCGCTCAGCTTCCTGGACATGGTGCAGCACTTCGAGCAGGACTTCGCCCACCGCCTGCACCTCTGCGACATCAAGCCCGAGAACTTCGCCATCCGGAGCGACTTCACGGTGAGGCCCGGCCGGGAGGGTGACGCTTTGGGACTGGGGGTGGCTCTGGTGACATACCCAGACCACCGCATCTACCCACCGCTTTCCTTAGGGGTGCGGATGAACAGACTGAGGGAACACACCCGCCTTCCCCTGCGCGGAGTAGAAGGGACTTGGATTAAAGCTCAGAAAGCCATCCTCAGGGGCCACGTTTCTACCGTGCGGCTGAGGACTTCCGCCACTTGGGGGTCTCTGCTCAGACCGCCTGGAGTTACGCAAACACGCACCTCCTCTCAACACGTTTTTTCCTGGAGAGGGTCTCTGGTTTGTGTCTATTCTGTGCGTGATATTTCTAGAGGGCCAGGCAGAACGTTGGTACTTCCCGCTGGGAACCACCTGTCTCCCCTCCCCCAAGATGCTGTCATGGAGTTGTCACCTGCAGGAGAAGGGTGAACATCTGCTCCCCATTCTTGGGTGAAGCAGATGGAGGAACAATAACAGCAAGAGAGACACTTTTAAAAAATAAAATAACAAGCTAGCTGCCTAAGTCGATTCCAACTCATGGCGACCCTGTGTGTCAAAGCCGAACTGTATTCCATTGGCTGATGCTTTGGAAGCAAGTTTCCAAGCCATTCTTCTGAGGCACTGCTGGATGGACACGAACAGTGAACCTTTCAGTTAGCAGCTTAGTGCCTTAACCATCGGCCCTGTTCCAAACACGGAAACCAAATCTATTGCTGTCCAGTGGATTCTGACTTAGGGCGACCTCGTATGTTACAGAATAGACTGCTCGGGGTAGGGGGGGAGTGGGGGTTCTTGGCTGTGATCTTTGAAAGTGGATTGCCAAGTCTTTCTTTCACAGCACTGCTGGATGAACCTACCCCGTTGGTTAGGAGCCTTTGCACGATCTGCATCACCAGGGAACAGGGACTCAGTGTTTTATTATACAACAGGCCTCTCCTTCCCTGTCAGATGACAGGCTTGGCGTTCTGGGCACCCGAATGCTGCTCAGACTTAGAGAAGAAGAGAATAATGATGCCAGAGTCACCTCAGGGGACATGGTGATGGGACAAGTCTGACACCATGGGAACCACGATTACAAAACATGGGGAGCAGAAGGCAGGCAACGTTCACTGCCCACCTGGGTGTCTTAGGCCTTTGGTCTAGAAAACGAAACTTGCGTCCATGCAAAGCCCTCTCTGGTCAGGCCATCGTCATAGTGGTCTCTTGTGTTGTCCCACCACCCTGGCCCTGGCTGCCCTAGATACAGACATGCGTTGGGCATATGCACGCCGAGCAGGGGTTTCCAGAGTACTAGCTGGCAACAGTTTGGGGTCATGAAACAATGCCGTTTCCAAGTTCATTTGCAAGCATTGTGTCTCAGGAGAAAGATGGGGCTGTCTGGGAAACCCCAGATAGGGTCGCTGTGAGTCAGAATCCACTCATGGACAGTGGGTTTGGGCTTGGGTACATTCTCCAGGTGACCGGCTGGGTTTAGTCAGTCCTCTTTCCTCTTGTTCTAGGGCCTCCTTTTTCCATGGAGGACAGATGAATTCTCCTGGGTCTTTCTTTTCTGATCCCAGGATGGAGTATGCAGAAGATAGAGTAGGTTAGGCAGCCTTACACAGAGAGTCTGAGACGGTTATGCACGTTTTTGTTCTGGAAGGTTCTTATCTCAGGTCCTTAGGCTTAGACTTCCAACACATGTGCTCCATTCCACGTCCTACACTGAAAAGTATATCATAGATCTTGGCTGTTCCAGGGAGATGGGAAGAAAACCATCAGAAATAGGTGTGACAAGTCACACGGAGCCAAAGTCCACCAGGGGGTCTGGGGAAATTGCCAGAGACTATCCAAAGAAGAGTCTTTCAGCCACAGCAATAAATTATAAAAGGCTGCAGACTCATTAGCATAGCATACCCCTCGTTCCTCTTGAGTGTACTGCCAGGGTAAATTACAAGATTGCCTATTTATTTTGGCCTAATCACAAGATAAGAAAGATGGATTGAAATGCTCAGTTCTGCTTGCTGTGCCGGAAACAGTAATTAGATAAAGCCCTTCAGTACAAGGGTTCCCTATTTTCATTCTAGCTTCTTGATTTTCAGACTTAACCACGTATTTTTACATAGCCTATTTTCCCCTGGTGGTGCAGTGGGCCAAGCATTGGACTGTTAACTGAAAGGTTGATGGTTCAAACCTACCAGCAGCTCTGTGGGAGAAAGATGTGGCCATCTGATTCGGTAAAGATTCACATCCTCAGAAACGCTCTGGGGCAGCTGTGCTCGGTCCTATAGGGTCACTGTGACTGGACAGCAGTGGGTGTTTGGTTTCCTCCTGTTGTGCTTTACTGAACTCCCTCCAGGAAGCTTCTGTGTCTCTCAGCATCGATCTGGAATGAAAAACAGACAAGCCCCTGTGCGTTTGCCTCCCAATGGTGTGTAGAGCTGGGAGGGTGTGAGCACAGACAAAGACCCCTTTCTGTGATGCTGGGAAGGGCGGAGGAGGAGGGCCTGCTGGGATACTGGCCTGTGAGGGCTTGTGGGATACCACAGACCCCATCTAACACAGCCTTCCTAACAGCTCTGTAATCCCTCAAAGCTACAAACGGCAAGATTTGGGCCAACTCCAGGTTTTCGTGGGTTGAGCTCATCTCTTTTAATTTTTAAATTTTATCCAGGTGGTGGAGAAAAAAAATCTGCATAATTTATAGATGATTCTATTTTTCAGTTGTTGACGTCTGTTTGATCTGGAGCCAGGGAGATAGACCTGAAATTCCAGGGCATGCTGACGTGGGATCGAGTGTTCCACACTGTTGGAATAAAAAGGCCGTACATTATCACACGCCTGACCTGAGGACCCAACTCCGCTGAGTTCCCCATCCCCGCCCCCGTTACCTTCCCTAGGTAATCAGTGGAGACCTCTGCGACCCTCTAAGAGACCCAGCGACTCTGTGGGTTAAGCATTAGCCTACTAAGCATGAGGTCAGGTCTGCAGGTCAAATCCACCAGCTCCTCTGTGGGAGTAAGCTGAGGCTATCTGTTCCTGTAAAGACTTCCTGTCTCAGAAATCCTGAGGGGCCTTCTCCTCTGTCCAGTAGGGTCATCATGAGTCAGAACCGATGGCTGTTACCACAACCTGACCTCATTTTACGTTCACACTCACAGTCCTGTCCTGGGAGCACAGTCCCATTTTACTACTGACATTTATAGGGATTGGTGAGGGTGGATGCAGGGAGAGGATCTACAGCCCGCAACTTGAGTAATCCTGCTCCTTGAAGGTCAAAGACCAAAGAGATAAAGGTGTGTGGAGGGGAAGTCACTTTCAGGACATGTCGGAGATTGTTTGTTCTTGCTGTTGTTGTTAAGAGTCATCAAGTCACTCCAACTCATAGCAACCCTGTGTGGGATTTCCGAGGAGCAACTGGTGAGTCTGAACTGCCAACCTTTCAGTTCAAACCAACTCTACAGTCCAGTGCTTAGCCCACGGTGTCCCGCCAGGCCTTAGAGATGGCAAATGATGTAGTTCCCAAGCCCTGGGCTAGAGTGGCAGCCAAAGCTCGTCAGTATCATCAATGACATTGTGTGTGTAGGGAAAAGTAAACTTACAACAAAAGGACCTGGTGCGGTTCTTTCCTTTGAGCTAGCAGAGTTGTGGTGTTGGTGTGTGCCAGCGAGTCGATTCTGACTCGATGTTATCCAGTAGGGCAGAGTGGAGCTGCTCTATCAGAACTAGGTCTTTTCTTTCCTGGAGCTGCTGGATGGATTTGAACCGCTAACCTTTTGGTTAGCAGCCGAACACCGAAACATCTTGCAGAGTTGTATAATCAATCACTTGCCATTTGGCCAACAACAGCTACGGTGATGGGCGCAGAAGTAGCTGAGTGGGGTCAGGCTGTACCGAGTCCCGTGCGCCATCTTGGGAGCCATGTGTTGTTTGATTACAGGTGGTGGTGATTGATGTGGACATGGTCTTTTTCGAACCTAAAATGAGGGAAATTCTGGAGCAAAACTGCACGGATGATGAAGACTGTAATTTCTTCGACTGTTATTCAAAATGTGATTTGCGGTTGCGCAAGTGTGGAGCCCACCGAATCAATAGCAATCTGCAGGTAAGTGACTCTGCCACAGCACTGGGCTTGGGGCGGGTGTGTGGTCACAGTGTGGTGGTCACAGCTTCTAGACTCAAGCGGTTCCCTAGGGCCATGTCTTCATTTCTTAGGGCTACCATACGCAAGCACCACAGAGCATATACAGGTTTTGCAGGTTCTGTGTGTTTTACAAATTGAAGGTTGTGGCAACCCTGCGTCCAGGAAGCCTGTTGGCGCAATCTTTCCAACAGCATGAGCTCACTTTGTGTCTGTGTGTCCATGTTGGTCATTCTCACAGTGTTTCAGACTGTCATCATGCTGTTGCTCACTTCACAGATGACACTCTAATGTCAACATGGCTTTTGTATGCTCTGGGAAACCAACAACGTTCACGTGACTCCCTTTATTGTGGTGGTCTGGAATGGAACCCACAGTTATCTCTGATGATGTCTGTCTATTATCACAACAGAATTTTGTTGTCTTGAAGTTCTGGAACCTGGGAGTCCAAACCCATATGATGAGCTCTCTGAAGCCTTTAGGCGAGATCCTTGTCTCTCTGTCTTAGTTCTCTCATGCTGCTTTAGCAGAAATACCACAGGGCCAGCGGGTGGAGGGCGACGTAACCCCCAGAGATGTATTCTCTCACACTGTGGGAGGGTGACAGTCTGAATTCAGAGCAACCACTTGAAGGCCTTTGTCTCCTTTCAACCTCCATAGGCCCCGTATGTGTCTTGGCATCAATCTTCCTCTGGACCTAGGAGCTTCATAGTGCAGGGCCCCAGGTCTAAAAGGCACACAACACTCCCAGGTCTTCTTTATGGGTGGTGTTAGGTCTCTCTGAGCTCTGCTCACTTCTCTCGCTTTATGTCTTGTAAGTAAAGTCTGCTGTGGTTCACACCTGAGGGAGACTCCCCTTACAGGGGGTCAGGACTGTGATGGGACTGAGGGGTTTGCCTCCCACCCTTAATCCTCTTACTAGTGTATGACACCAGATCAAATCATGAGGGGTCATCACATAACTGCCAAGACACTAAGGTCCACAGTGTAGCCAAGCTGGCACACTATTGGGGCACATACAGCCCAATCCATGGCAGTCCCCCTTCTGGTGGCCCCTGGCTGCCTCTGTCCTCCAGGGCCATCCTTCCGTGTGTATCTGTGTCTCTAAAGACACCAGGCACACTGGACGAGGACCTGCTCTATTCCAGTCGAGAAACTGGTCACACCTGCAAATTGTACACCCATGTTGACACGTCAGGGATTCCTTAGGACTGTGTTCCACTCAGGGGCCACGCTCTCCAGCACTTCTCCTGGATCAGGTTCATCTTCTCCCTCATGTCTGTAGAGGTGTGGTTCCCAAGAGCCCCCTCTTCAACCTCTACCTCAGGGGTCCACTTCAGGAACCAACCCAAGACTAGGGGCCTGTGCTCTGAGGCTATAAAGAGTTCCTATGAATGGATGTAAAACTCCTCTACATATTAACGTGATCAAGATTTGGGCAGAGGCTAGAAACCTGACCATTCACTGAATCAAACAAAACAAAACAAACCCACTGGTATTAAGTCGATTCTATTTTTTCATGAATTTTTTGAAGTCGCTGTGTGTGGTTAGACGAGATGGAAGTTGGGAACTGTGTGCCTTCTGTACTACCGTTTGTGGAGAAGAAAAGAAAGAGAAAATCCATGTGTGTGGAGGCATATGTAGGACTCCTGGTGTGGTGCTGTAGGATTAGCACTGGACTGTCAACCACAAGGTCGTCAGTTCAAACCCACCAGCCTCTCCTTGAAAACCCTATTCAGGGTCACTGTGAGTTGGAACCGATTCAATGGCACTCAACAACAACAACAACAGCCTTGCATGTGCCCAGACTCTCTCCAAAAGGCACTTGGGAAACTGATTGTGGGGCATGGGGCTGGTTGTTGGGTGAGGTGGAGACTTCAGGAAATTTTAAATTTTGTGTATGAAAATGTGCTACCTACTCAGAAAAGAAATACCAACATTTGTCTTGAAGAAGAATCCATTGGGAACTTGAAGCCAAAGCTATTAGTCTTCAATGAGACAGTAGCTTATGAAATGGATACCTTTGTCAACGGGTCGTTCAGAAAGTGCAGTGTATTTAAATAAAGCACAATTCATCACCAGCAGTTCTCCCCACAGGGCGGAGGCTACACAGAGAACGTGGGAATATTGGGACTTTGATGAGACTGTCAGCATCACTGAGTTGCAGACCTTATTTGAATCAAAGAAATCATTTCTTAGTTTTTTTATTTCTGCTTCTCTAAATAAACAAAACTCCTTCCCCTCAAATGTACCTTCTTCATAGAGTCGCTAATGGTCATAACCCAACTTCCATATTGTGTCCCTTGTCCCTCAGTACCACCTAGTGGGGGCTATCCTTGTCACTATGGCCATTTTAAGGATTAAAGAATGGGATTCTACTGTCCCTACCTGTGATCCCTGTTCCTTGTTCTCTTCAGAAACTGTTCAGTCCTCTTTGGAGTGCCCCCACACTTTCCTGGTCCACTGTGAGACTAGAAGGGGAGTTCCCCCCCACACACAGGTAGCTTTCTCTTCTCTAAATAAGGAGTTAGCAATAAGTTAATTCACACTCTTAATGATTTGAAGTGTGTCATAGGGAATTCAATGCTTGAGTTTTCAGAAGCAAATTTCTTCTGAGACACCTTGTGGGGGACTCAAACTGCCAACCTTTTGGTTAGAGCTGAGTGTGTTAAGCATTTGCACCATCCACGACTCCCTTCCTGGCTGAGCACAGTGCCTGGTGTTGGGCCGGTTATGTTCCAGGAGGCGAGGAACAGTTAGAACCCAGGATTCTGAGACCAGCTCCCTACGAAACTGGGGTGTGAGAAAAAGCATAGTCACCGTGAACATTTAGATCGAAGATTCTATAAAAGAAAGCCAATCAAACGAGGAAAAATGACTAATAGAATGCCAAATTCTCATGGAATCCAGCCATTCTGGTTCCCTGGAGGCTGGCTGAACCCCTGAAATCATCTTTAAACCTTAAACTTCCTTTGAAGTCTTAAAATCAATCAACAGTTTAGATTCACTAATCAGACTGTCTACCTGGAGCATTGTGCCTTCTGAGAACTATCTGTTGTTGTTGTTAAGAGCCTTGTATTTGGTTCCGACTCATAGTGACCCTGTATAGGGTTTCCGAGGAGCGACAGGTGAGTTTGAACCGCCGACCTTACGGTCTGGTGCTGTACCCCACAGCACTGAGTTCACGCTAATGGGGAGGAACAGGATGGCTGACCAAGGGGAAGAATGCTGTCCCTGTCACTCCCGGCGCACGTAGAAACAGTGAAGTGCAGCAAAAGACAAACCAAGGGACTGCAGGAAGGAAGCCGCTTGCTCCCTAGCTCGGGGAGCTTGGAGGGATGGTTTTCTGAGTCGGTCACCTGCCCATGCTCTGTCCCTCAGGTCGTCTGTGACAAGATCTTCCGCCACTGGTTTTCCTCACCTCTGGAGGACTCTGGGGTCTCCTTCCAGCTGCAGCGGCAGTTCCAGGAGGTGGTGCGGGAGTGCGCAGATCCCGGGGACCCCGCGCCTCCCCACAGAGCAGCCCCCAGCGTCTTCTGGAAGCTCCGGAGCCTGTTGAAGGCCCTGGTGCAGGAAATGCAGGCAACGGAGCCCTAGCTCACCCCGGCCTTCCCGGTGCTCACCTCTGGGAGGCGGTCATGGGCGGCTGTCTCCTGCATTTGTCCTAAGGATGAGACTAAGATGCCATTAGGATCTTTTGAAGTGTGCAACTCCTTCCGACCTGGCCAGCTGTGAGTGTCTCTCGGTCCTGTCCTGTCTCGGTCGGTCGGATGGGCTCTGCTTGAAGACTGTCCCCACTTTAAGGTGAAAGGAGGGAGAAGCGGTGCAGGATGATTTCACACAGGAGGCTCTCGTCAGAGACCCACCCTAACGCCTGTGTGATTCTTCTCTGAGGCCACTGTTTGGACATGGTTATCCAAATGAGTGTCCCAGCTGTCTTGGTCTCTGTCACCACATTTAAGAAAGTGTGTGTGCACTCAGATGTGAGTGAGAGATCTGTGCTCCCGAGTGAGTGTCCCCTTGTGCACAGGGGAGTGTGTGGTATATGCTGGGGCGGGGAATGTGGATTTTCAGCATGTCTGTCCTCTGGGAGAACCTCCCAGCTTGCAAAAGAAAAGTCTCCTTTCTTTTGGAAATGTAATACAATAAAAGTAAAACGTTGCATCTTGAAGGAATGCCATTTGTCTGTGTCCTGGCAGCTTGCAGGCTTTCTCAATGGAAGGAATCCACCGATTTCATGGCTTCTGCTTTTAGCCAGCACTTCACCACGCCATGCCATGTGGTGTCCTTGGAGCAGGGATGGTGTGTCGGCTGAGCACAGAGCTGTGGGTCTCATGGACTAAGCTGGGGCCTTGACCTCAGGTAGGAACAGGGACACATCCCGGGCCTGAAGTCCTGCTCCCCAGAAAAGACCTGACTCTGTGTTAGTGACAAAATGCAGGGGACATAAGAGGCGACACGTGTGGGGCCCATGAGGTCTTTATTTCTGGGGAACACACCTTAAGCACTCTTCAGTACATGGTGGATGCTTGTAAGTAAGCAACGAACAGTGCTCTTCCGAAATGACAAGGGAAGAAATGGAGCACAGAGTGAAGGCAAGAGAAGGAGCTGTGCCAGCATCTATGGAGCAGAGAGGGCGATGGGAAGCGGGTGTTCGAGAGAGCAGAAATCCACAGCCCCTTTCTGATTCAGACCACCTAAGACAGGCAGCGCCCTTAAACAAATAATAAATAAGGGGGAATCTGATGCAGACCGTGCAGACCTGGTCAGGAGTTCAAATCCCTGTGGGCCCAAGCGTTGCTGACTGACCAAACCATAGGCTCTGAGGATCAGACTTTAGCCACCTAGCAGACATAGCAAAATGTCCCTTATCTGATTATTCAATTTTGCTGGTTAGTAATTCCATACATGAGCCCTGGATACCCACAGATAAACGTAAAAACCTTCCGTAAAAGCCGAGACTGTAAATTCCAAAAAGGCAAAGTTT